CGGGTAATGTACCATCAATAAGCTACAAGACGCTTTCAGACGTCAGTATTTGTCCGTTTAGTTTCTATTTTTTTACACAGAGTTAATGTTTTATCAGTCCATATTTTATTAAAATGTTATTTTTATTTAATAAAGAATTTGAAATAAATTTAATATTAATTGTTGCTTGTCCTAAAATGATTTTTTTTGTATTTTAATGGTTAAAAGTTGTTAAATGTTTTACATAAAAATAATATTATATATATACTGTATATCTAATATATATATTAGAAACAGGCATAAAGAGTGTATTTATAAACATAGAAATTCTTTATTACAACAGCGTCTCTCATTTATACAGTAACCTTTGACCCCCTCCCTCTACACATCCATCAGGTTGCAGTAAAATGGAAGCTGTATTGTCGTATTTTAATCACAGCATTGTAAAAAACAAAACAAAAAAACAAAAACAAAACAGTTGAACAAGTAAAAATCATTACGCCAACGTACGATGTCATTCACAGTTTGAAATATTTTCAAAGTAAAATGAACTGTCACTCAAAAAACATGAAACACCCTGTGTCCGTCCTTCGATGAGGATTTTTTTTATTTCCAGGAACATTTTATTGTATTGAAATTAGCTCTAAAAAACTCTTGTCTTCAACTGGATCTTGTTCTTTTGATATCCTCATCAGGTAGTCACATTATTCTCCTTATGGCATAAGAACACAGTGTACAGGATTCACTCTTGGCATGAATGTGTGTAAACTCTTAAGTTATTGTTTTTTTTCCTCTTTATTTTCTCTCTCTCTCTCTGTCTGAGGTACTGAAAAAACCCTGGTGAGGAAGGAAGTCAAAAACTGTACAGTTCTGTTTTTGTTTTTTCTTCTGGATTAAAGAAAGGAAGAAAAAAACAACTCAACAGCCGACAACTACACTAAGGAAGGCAGTTCACTGCACACACCTGGAAACACATCCACCACCCTGTAATATTCAGGAAAAAAACAAAAACAAAAACTAAAGAAAACTCTACACTCACTAATAAAAACTCCTCTAACCGACATTCACAACCAAAAGGAAACAGAATATGCAGATCAATACAGAACAACCAAAGATACTGTAGGATAATTATTCAATAAAGTACCGACTCTTTAAGGCCTGTTTTCAAATATACAGATAAACACGTCACCTGGCAGAAAGATCCGGTGGGTTCGTAGTCAGCTTAAAAACTAGAACAAACAATGATCAAATTGACAAAACTGGTCACAACTGGTTTGGCTGCTAAAACTTCACTGATTGAAGCCAAAAATGACAAGAATGCTGTGTTCAATCTTTCAGAAATGTAAGGTCATTTTTATAAAAAAAAAAGAAGAAGTGGTTTTGACCCAAAATGGGTCTGTTTTGCCTTATGTCCAAACAGAGAAGTATGTTATGTTTTGTTTGTTTTAGTTTTCACTGCAGGTTTGTCGTACGTTAAAGTACTCTGTATTATATTTATTTAGAATTGATATCAAGGTTATTTCAGCAATTTCTGTGCAGAGCTGAGCAGTTTTTGAGCTTTAGCAGAAACACTTTTGTCCAAGTGTTTATTCAAAAATGTATTTCACTGTGACCATGATCAGAAAGTGGAATCAAATCAAATGAAGCAGAAACGTTTTGCTTTTCGTCGTTCCAAAGCTGTAAGACAGAGCCCAGTGGAAAGAGTCCCGTGACATCAACCAAAATTAGAGACAAATTCAGTAAATAAATGGGTAGAAATTTAATGTTCTGTCAATATGTGGTTGGTTTTCACCTGCTCGCCCTCGTTAAACTCTGAAGTCTCCTCTGCAATTTGTCCAGGGATGCGGAAATCTATGGGTAAGGGCTCAGGCGTCGGTGGCTGGGCGGCCGGGCAGCAGGCCTCACCTTTGGGACTGGAGGTGCTGTGAGAGTTTTGGGGGTCCAGGTTGCAGCCAGTGCCCTGAAGAAACTGAAGAAAATTCTCCTCGATGGATCCCTCCCGGCTCGGCAGTCTGTCCTCCACCTCCACCCCGGCCCGACGGAACAGACACGGCAGGTGTTTTCCCAGCTCCTCTCGGATCTGCCTGTTGAGACAGCCGTAGAAAAAAGGGTTGGAGGTGAAGCAGAAGTATCCGATCCAGGTGACGACCTCCTCCAGAGAGGCCAGTGTGGCTGGAGGGCTGGCAATCAGAGCCGAGTAGAGGTGGAACGCAAAGTAGGGCAGCCAGCAACAGAGGAACTGTCCACCGACTGCTGCTAAAACCGCAGCGGCCTTCCCTCCCCCAAAGGGGCGCTGTGGAGTGGTCCTCCCCGTCCCCGTCCCGGCCTCTGTGCCTGAGCTGGTGACCATGGTGGAACGGCTGCTGAGCGATTCCGAGCGCTGGCGCCGGGGTGTGTCCATCCAAGTGGGCAGCGGCCCGTGTTGCATGGCGGCGACCCGGGCCACTTTGAAAACATTGCAGTAAACTACAAGAATCACCAGCAGGGGGCACAAGAAATATACCAGAGTGAAAAGGACCATGAAGGCCAGGCGGTTTGACCCTCCACCTGTCCAGTGCAGCGAGCAGCGCCTGTGACCCTGAACAGGAGGAGAAGGGACGGCTCCACTTCCTCCTCCTCCTCCTCCTCCTGCTCCACCTCCCGCTACGCCGCCGCCCTCGAGGAGCGGCGATCTCCCGCCTTGCAGGATTGTGTTCCACCGTTGTTCTTTCAGTTTCATTTTCACAAAGAATGAAAGAGGGAGCAAGTCTGAAAGGGCAGAAAAGATACCAACTGCTAATTGAAGACTCATGTCTCATTTGACCATTTGTCTAATTGTCTATTAGTACAACTTCAGCCAGTCTAATCAGGCCAGTGCTAATGTAGAAACACCCTTTATGGTTGCCACCTCATCTCCTTCCCATTACTATTCCCCGGACAGTGCAGTTTATGATTATCATAATGGTAATCTATGTTGTCCTTTTGTGTCTCTCTTCCTTCTCTGAGAACAGCTGGCATTTTTCCAACTCTGCGACTAAGTTTTTTTTATTATTTTTTTATGCATAGTCGGATGCCAAGGACATAACGTTGCATTTGCTGCCTTGCAAAGCCTGCCAATCAATCAAGTGCTCTGTAGCTCTTGCTGATCTGATTGGCTTGCTAAAAATGTGAAACGCCTAGACCTGTAACCCCCCCCCCCCCCCCCCCCCCCGGGGGGCGGGCGACCTCCCGCCTTGCAGGAACCAAGCGAGCAGCGGCAGAGTGGACATGGCCAGGGCCTTGACCCAAATGCCCACCAACACCGATGCCACCAGACCCACTGTCATTTTGACTTCGTAGCGCATGGGGTGGATGATGTAGTAGTAGCGCTCCACGTTGATGACGGAGATGGAGAGAATAGCAGCGCTGACCAGGCACACACTGAGGAAGAGGTAGCTCCGGCAAAAGGCTTCCCCGAAGAACACGCGGCTGGAGAGCATGCCGAGGGGCATCAGCAACAGCGCCGCCAGCAGGTCCACCACGCACAGGTGGAAGACGAAGGCAAACTTGTGGAGCTGCGGAGCCTTGGCGATGACCACCATGACGGCCGCGTTGCCCACGACGGCCAGCAGATCCATGAGCAGCATGGCCAGCAGGGCTAGCGACTGGGACGGAGCCCAGCCCTCGGGCAGAGTGGAGGCAGACATGTTGGACATGAGCTGTGGAGGTGGGCTGGAGGAGTTCCACATCTGCTCCATTGATAGGCAGGACGAGGCAGGCAGGCAGGATCAGTCACAGGCCCATCATCCATCCTTCAAAGCCAGGAAGTGCTGCCAGGAAAATGTATCTTTGTAAATGAGGTTCATTTTCAAATCTTCACGTCTGTGATCGGTGACGAGCCAGCCTGAAATCAGAGAAAGACAAGACGTAGAGGAAAGAAATGTTAAAAATGTGTCTGCAGATCTGAGTCATATGACCTCATCCCACCAATCATCTGCTCATACTGAGTGTTCTCTGATAAAGTTGTACACAAATACCGCGCTGGCGACAACATGTTCTAGAAATGCAATAATAATAGTTTGTTTTCACAGAACAAATTTATTATATTATGGCTCCAAAAATGCAATAATTCTGGGAACAGATAGAAATAAACGAGGGGGTCACACCTCTTCTACATACAGTATATATATA